CCCCCCCCTCCTCCATGACCAATACCTCACTATGTCACTGCTGTTTATCAGCAAACCATTAAAGAAAGAAAAAAAAWTTTCAATTTTATAAATAAATAAGAAATAAGATCTTTTCTCACCTCAAGCTCATAGTGTTCTCCTCCATTTTTGTGCCCAAATGCTRACGACCCTGCTGATGCCTTAGTCTCATTAAGCAGCTCACAAATCATCGCCTCTCTTTCATTCCTGTATGTATTGACTGAGAAACAACTGGCTGTCTTCGCRCACTCTTTTTGGCACTCAGTTGGACTGGATTCCAGGGTTCTAAAAATTCCGTACCCCAGCCTTTTGTGGTAGTGGCGTGAAGAGGTGAAACCAAAACTTGCTTGAGCATGCACAGCCCTGAGAACCAGTCCGCTGACCAACAGTATCGTAAATATTAGGTCTGTCATCTAAAATTTAAAAATCTAAGATTTCAAAATGTCAGTAAATTCACCTTTTCGGCGCTTGCCGTCACGGGGTATAAATTGTCTTAGATTGTGTTACGGCCACCAAAAAGTTCGGACATTGTTCTCGAATTTCCGTACAAATGTACTGACTCTAAAAGAACTATTTACTTGGTTAATGTTTAGTTAGTTCTCTAAATACAAGTGAATGATCATTTTTCTAGCTTGATTGAAGCTTTTGTTACTGTTGTTAAGATAGCTAACTAAAGAAATCTACCTAAATTTTCTCTTCAAAGTCAGTGAATTTGTATGGAAATCCGAGAACAATGTTCGAACTTTTTGGTGACCGTAACACAATCCAAGCTAGCGCCGAATAGGTGAATTATACAACACCTGTTATAGTCAAGTACCGACTTTGTAGGTGCGTTAAAACTGTAATCAGTTATTCAGTAGTAAAACACAAAATAGCCCATCTAGGGATTTAGGCAGCTTGGTGTTAAACTATCATAGATATGAGATTTTTGCCCAATATTATAAAAATAAAGATATTGAACAAATTTGATCGAACTGTTCAGCCAAAATACACTGACATACCTATGAATTTCAAAAGTCAAAACTTGCTCGAATTTGACATATCTGTTCACTTTTAAAAATTTCTTCACTTCACAGAGATTTTTTACTTTCTTCTTTTCTTCTTTTCTTTTTTTTTGTTTTTGTTTTTGTTTTTTTATTTTATTTTTTTTATTTTTTATTTTAATTTTGTTTAAGAGGTTAATTAAATGCGCTATTTTCTTGATTTGGTTCGTCTTTTCCCGCTTGTGTTAATTAAAAGAATAATAAAAATCTCTCATTTGTTACACCAGGCTGATTATTTTGTCTGATGTGGGCCTGCTTTCACTCACACTCACTACCACTACATTTACTATTTKATGCACATAACACTCGACTCACATGTTGATTTTTACGGAGGAAGGAAAACCAGAGAAAAATCCCCTGTAGCAAGAGAGAGAACGATACCTCAAAAACTCAATTAATTCACGTATCGTGTTTCCTTCTAAATACAAGATATACCGCTTTGAAAACGTTGCCAATTAACTCCTAACCACTGAATCGATCAACAGCAGGTGCCTGGGTTATTCCTAATTATAGATTTGAACTTTACCGAACTCTCGGTTTCTTCAGTAAGTAAAGTTGTTTTTTGGTCCTTTCCTGTGCTCATAGGGTTTATRTATGTATATATAACTTTATTTTCTCAAGGTTTTTTTACGGTTTCTACGATTTTCCTCCCTCCACAATAATCAACTTCCAATCATTGACAATCATCTATGATGAGGAYCACAAGTTTTTTAGCCACTGGCTATCAAGTGTTACCCTCGTAAAGCAAATACTATTTGTTTCATTTTGAATATTTGGTTTGGTATTATATAAATGTTTTCTTAATTATTTTTGCCCAATAATCAGAATCTCTACATCTGTTTCGACTTCTCTCTATCCAGCGTAGCTTTAGCTTTTAAATACCCGTAAAAGGAGCATTGATAGATACAGTAGTCTGAGGGAGTAAAGGTCGCACTATTCGAGTGCTTTACACATAAACGATTAACCCCTGGCTCGGGAGAATTGGCCGAAGTAAAAAATTAGCTTTAACGTTTTGCTTTTACCTAAAAAGTTTGGATCAAAAATTCGAGTGTAACTCAGTGGGCGCCCACCCGCTTTGGGTGACACTAAATGGAACTTATTCTAAGTTTTTCTCCTTTTCTTCCAAGTTCTTTTTCATCTCAAAACTACTAACGTATATCAAAGCGCCTCCAGTTTCGAAATCTCCAAAATAATAAACATTTGGAATAAATAAAAAGATTAATTAATATAAATAAGTAAGATAAAATCTTGCGGGCAAAAAAATTGCAATTTAATTTCTGTATTGCTGCCCAGACATAGACGAGATATCTTCGMTGGGACAGGCCTTCGCTGAGACGAGCTCGTTTTGATGTTGTCTCTGCTTTTTGTACAGAAAACATGCAATAAATATAAATAAGATAACATCTGGTAGGCAAAAAAATCTGCAATTTAATTTCTGTATTACTGGGACAAGTTTGTTTTGATGTTGTCTCTGCTTTTTACACAGAAAACATGGGTATCATACGCTGCTAATCCGTCGCCTCTCATCGTTGTCCTGTGTTGGATTCCTGGACAAGTCTTCACATGCGAGTATTATACATGTTTCTTGGCTGCATTGATGATTCGCAAGTACGTCCCCTACACGATTTCCGGCTTAAAAGTACCATCCCCCTAACTTTACTGTGAAGTCTAATATTCATGTAACCCTGATCGTCAAAAGTGCATCGAAATTCGGTGTTCAATAAAAGGTACGAAAATAAAATCAAATAATGGCAAGTTTTTTTAATGGAAACGCAGTAGAATTGCTGCTAAGTTGAAAACCGTAAGCTTATTTATCTTCTTTTTCTACTTTACTTACCTTAAAATGTTGGCCAACAAAAGTATAAAACCGTGTCTCTGTCATCCAGCATTCAACTAATTACTGACAGGTTTTCGTGAACAATTAGTTTATTATACACTTTGGGATAGTTAACAAAGTCATTTAGGATTGGCTAATCACTGTTCAGGTTATTTTAGCAGCACCAATAATAGAAAGATTAAAGGTGTTTATTCCCGCAAACGGAAAACTTCACCACATTTCCTTCGTTTTCCTGTTTTTTTTTTTTTTTTTTTTTTTTTTTTTCCACAAATCTTTTCACCAAAGAAAAATATTCTTTTGTTTATCCACTACCTGCAGATATTTTCCTATTCTTTTTCATTAATTCTAGAGCCGAATATTTTGGTTCTTAACTGACTTTCACGTTTCCCGTTAGCAAGATGCTTAAACTATCTAACAACCAAGCCTAGAAAGTAACTGTAATGTAATAAAACAGTTTTGGTTTTGGACCAATAAAAKGATTCATGCGTTTAGTGATAAATAAACAATTGCCATGACAATCAGTATTTCCCTCATAAAACCGGTTCCAAAGTATTTTGGGATTTTCCATTYTAGAAAATTAGCAGCGATTTGTTATCATCATCGCAGGTTTATGTTAACCATGGCAATCGAATTGATTTTTTTGGTTGATTTTTCTGTACAAATGTTTTTGCACTTCATTTTGAAACAAAAACTTTAGGTATTATCTCCATCATGTCATTTGAAATTTCATTTGAGTAGTTTTTATTGAAAAAAAATGAAGCATTCTGGTGGAAGGTATGCTTCTTGTCATCCGTTCAGTCCACGGCAATGCTCAAAAATTTTGAGCACTCTGATGGAAGGTCGTGCTTCTTGTCATTCTGTCCACGGGAATGCTCAAACATTTTGAGCACTCTGATGGAAWAGAATGACCAAGCATTTTAAAATAAAAGGTTTAGAAAGTAAACTTTTATATGGATAAACTATTATTGATGTGACAAATAGACCCTTCCACGGCTTTTTCAACTTTTCCACGACTCTTTCAACTTTTACATGGACTGATTAAGATTCCACCGAAAAATGCTGGAAAAACAACCTCAATTATCAATTTACTGGTTTTACTAGCTTAAAATATTAAAACATGCACTACAATGATATGAAAAGATGAACATTTATTGAGTAAAACACAAAAAGCAGGAGTAAAAAAAGTGCAATATAAAACACTCAAATGCTAAGGTAAATCTCCAGGTTAAATAGTGAGCTAAGCGATAGTAAGCTAAATTAAACTAAAAATCGTTTCTCACAAGAACCGGTAGATTTCCGAGGTGCRGCACTACTGCCCAACTAAATTCTTTTATTCAAAAAAGGATATCTTTAAAACAATTCCGTCTTATTTAATTATTTTTGCGAGAAAAACACACCTTTGTTTACATTATTATGCATGCATGGTGAACGAAGAT